GATGCTGTCGATGATGATGGTGGTGCTGATGATGGTGGTGAGATTAGGAGCCTGCTATGAAATATGATGGTGGTGAGGAGCAGCGCGAGCACGGTAAGATATGCTTGGTAACACGACCAAGCCTTCTCTTGAACACGCGTAGTATCATTGGTGTGCATATACAGTTAACGATGCTAGCGAACATGCGTACGGCTAGTGCGATTCTTGTGTTTGTGGCAGGGAGTCCCAAGATGAATATTCTATGGGCGGTCGTGGCGATAACCTTGGCGGCGATTGTGGCGCGGGGAGGAGAGGGAACATGGAAACACGTTCTTGGTTTGTTACCCAGCTGCCTGCGGCAATTCCCGCCAGCATGGCAGCCGAGCTTTTTGCGCGGCGACTTTTCGAGGGGCACGGGAAGGCCTTCACACGTGTCACTGTTCGGCCTCGCTTCTCGAGAAACTCTTGTGAAGCTTAGTTGGGCCGTCTTGAGGCTGTCTTGGGATCCTGTGTGGCAGTCATGGGGTTTGGGCTGCCTTGGGGCCGTGCTGGGCCGTCTACGCCGGGGTCCCCTTGGGCCGTCTTGGGGGCGTCTGGGGGCCATCTCGGAGGCCACTGGGGCTGTCTTGAGCCGAAGGAATCCCGTAACGGCGAGAACGCGAAAACCTTTAATCACAAGGGGGGATCCATGATGTTGACCCCCCAATCATACTGGGGAGCTGCTTGGACGCGCTCTCATCTTAGGCTGCTGTAGGACCATGCCAGGCCGTCTTGAAGGCATCCTGGGTTGCCTGCCTGGGCCGTGCGTGAAGCCACCGGTGGCGTGTTGGACGCCCTGGAGAGCGCCCGGGAGGCGTGGGGCCGCCCAGGGACTCTCGGGGGGGGTGGGTTGGACGCTGCACCGCGGCTGTCCGCTCCTTTTCTGGGAAGGTTTACAGGACACCCGTCACGCAACATTTGCGCGGCGCAAGGTGAGCGGGGTCGTCTGCGCCGACATTGGCGCGTAAGCTGCCCGCGTGAGGTCGCGCGCAGGCACCCTCGTCTCCAAGGTAGCGCGCCCTGGCGGCCCGCGTGAGCTTCGGCGTAAGGTCGCTACGCCATCTCGCGTAAGACCCGTTGTTGATCTTCGCTCACTTGGCATCCGACCGCGCCTGAAGATGCCAGGCGGAACGGTGGCGGGTTGTCACGGTTTGTTGCGTGCGCGAATTCGACCCTTCACCGGTATCATCTCGCCTGTAGCGCCTGCTGTGCCATCCTGCCCAGGTTGAGCGGTACAGCTGGAACATCTCGCGAGTTGTTGCCAGGGACTTCTGCCTGCGGAGTTCGTACGCATCTCCCTCAGCGGGCGTGCCTGTGTCGCTCCAGGGGGCCTGCTTCTGGTTCCAGGGCAGAACAGAGGTGGGGCCGATAAGTCACGGGAGGAGTACAGTCGGGGCGCCGAAGAAGGAACCCCTTTCGTTGGGGAGGGGCTCGGTGTTCCTTGATGGTTTTACAGTTTGCCTTAGGTGCTTCTCAGGGTTTCCCTGGGAGATCGAAGTTTAACATTCGGAAAAGAGGGGGGCCTCGTTCCTGACTTAGGGTTCCCGAGGTCAACGCCCCGAGGGTACACGCAGCCGTGCCGAACGAGTCCGCGGGCCCCGCCCACTCCCACGGCGAAAGCGCGCCGAGAGATGGAGCGCCGCCCGTCTCTGCCAGGTTCCCCCTGGCTCGAGATGTGCCTGGTGCGGCGAGGGGAGTCCGCCCTGGATCGTGGCGCAGGATAAGGCGGAGCAGCAGGATGAGGACGAAGAGAAGGGCGGGGGAGGAGGCGGAAGCAGAGCAGGAGGAGGAGGAGGAGGACAAACGCCACAGCTTCTTGCTCAGGTTGGTTCAACGTACATCGGAGGAGGAGGAGGACGGGCACCAGTGTAAGCCCAAGATGCGTCAACGATGTTGCAATCACACCTTGCTCCAAGTTCCCCCTTGTCCCCAATGGTAAGGCAACCGTCGAAGAGTTCGCAATTGCCCCAGCACGCACTTCTGGGACTCCAACTCCGCGAATCAGCGCGATTATTGAGTCTTGACGCTGCGAAAGCCTCTGCTCCCGGGGATTCATAATCGCGAGTCAATGTGACTACTTCATCTTGCCAATCGTAGGTTGGGACTTCATCCACATGAATCCATGACATTGCTGCACACGTTTAAACCGAATGTGCGCCGCGATAAAGCGATAGCTACACTTTGAAACGCAGCTGCCCCCCATCCTTGAAATTGTTCCACGCTTTTCAAACGAATGTTCGCGGCGGGCCCGGTATCCATCCCTGAGGCTGTTGCAGACTTTTAAGACGAATTTGCGCGGCGCTAGGGCGAGAGCCACATTTGGAGAGCCCCCGCCCTCTCATGAAGTTGTTGCACTTTTCAAGTGTCAGGGTCATACGTGACGAGGAAGTCTCTGGCGAAACGCCTGGCCCGCCCCACCGACACGCCTGGGGGCGCGACCGGGAGGAGTTACTTCTGAGGAAAAGGAATGGAGGAGGAGTAGAAGGAGGAGGAGGAGGAGGAGGAGGAGGAGGAACAGGAGGAGGAGGAGGCGGAGGAGGAGGAGGAGGACCGCGCACGAGCAGGGAGGACGAGGCTGCAGGCCGCGGTTCTCGCCGCTCCCGAACCGCGTCGGCCGCCGCGGCCCGCTCCCGCAGCCCATCCAGGCCGCGGGGGCGATTCCCCTAACCGAGTTCGACCGCGGGCGACGCCGGAGGCGAGGCCGCCCAGGAGGGGCGCGAGGGCCGCTGGCTCCTCCACCGGGGGGCCCGAGCCGAGGAAGCTCAGAGGGGCATGGTTCTGTCGGGCCTGTCCCTCTACAGGAGGCATATTCAAGAGTAGTCAACAAAATAGTCCGGGGACGATTGTTTTATTACTTTTTTGGGCATGAGTATCTTTTTTTTCGCCCAACATGCGCCTGTAGGGGGACAGGCCCGACTCAAGGGCAGGGTTTGAGGTGGGAGGCTCCAGGTTGTCGGGCGCCCTCGAGGGCTCCCGTCGGCTCTGCAGCCTCGGGGTGTGGCCCAGTGGCTGCGCCTCGCCGAGAGAGCGCGTTCCGGGGGGGTGCCTTGGAGCGCCCCGAGCGGCCGCCAGAGAGCCGAGCTGTGAGCAGACGGCCAACGGGCAGCGTGAAGGGGCATGGGCTCTGCCCGGCCCTGCCCTGTTCGGTTCCTGTCCTGGATGCGTTCCTGCCCTGTTCGGTTCCTGTCGGGGTGCTTCTTGTGGGGGTGGATTTTCTGCTCTCTGAGCAGGCAGCGTGAAGGGGCATGGGCTCGTGGGGGAGACGCACGGACCCCCAATCGTCCATTCGTCGCCGATGGGGCCGACAGCCCGCTCCGTCCAGGACCATGCGGAGTCGCTATCGGGGGCCTCTCGCCGCCCTACTAGCGATGCATCGCCGATTCAGGCTCGGCGTCTCCCCTCCTGAGCCCGTCCCCGCCCAGCGGTGCTCCTCGACCCAGGGCCTCCCTTCATCTTGGAAGAGCCACCACCCGCAATCTGGTCGTCGTATCCGGTTGACTCCGCCAGCGTCCGTCAGGGAAACATGGCTCTGGCCCGCGCGCCGCTTCGACGATATCTGGACCCAAGCTCAGCGCACCCCATGGGCCGCAATGGCTCGGATTGCCCTGATAGTTTCCGAGCGCCCACTCGTTGTTCTATTGGCAGGTGTAAGACCAGATGAGATTCTGAACCGGCTTGTCCTTGAGGGCTCCTGAGGCCATGGGAGGACCTCACTTCGACAGGCCGGCGCCGCCTTGAGGCTCTGTGAAGGCCTTACGAAGCTTTACGGAGATAGTCGCGAGACCAGCGCATTCTCGGGTTCAAGCTCGTGGTCCCTCGTGCGCGCTGTGATCGTTTTCTCGCTGCCGTTTCCCACGAGGCCTACGGTGAGGAACTTTGGCTTAACGTATGGCATCGCCGGTTTTGGCCCACCACGTTTCGGCGCAACATGCTATCCACTTCGCGGTCCCCAGGCGTCAGAGTCCGAGCTTTCCAGAGCTTCCCGCCCCGCAGAGCGAAACGACATACAATCGCTCGCAGGGCATAGCTTGTCGCCAGGGCCGCCGCGGCGACACGCTAAGCAGAAGTTCCTGACCGGAAGGTATGCGCCTGTGGGGTGCAAGGCCGCACGTCTCACCGACCTCTGGCCTCTTCCTCCACAACTGGCGGCCCGTGGATGACATGGTCAAGCCTCCTGAGACCGTTCGGGAGGCATTTGGTGCGTTCCACAAGGGGCCTCCCCTTTCGGTGGAAGCCGGCAGAACACCAGCGGAAGGTGGTGGAAGTGCAACGGCAGGACTCCGCCAGCGGAAACGGCGAAAGTCAGAGGAGGAAAAAGGTACCGATATTGCTATCCTTGCCCAGTTTTTCACATATTTCGGCATCCTTGGAGGCCCTCGTCGCCACCGCTGGGTTCGCTTTTGAATTCTGGTCAGAGCGCACCCCTGGAGAGGTCTGGGGAGCAGCGGCGTTTGTACCTTGTGGTTTTCCCAGAAACAGTGGCGGAAGACGGCGGAAGGAGAAGCGAGACGTCATCATTTTTGGAGTCAGGGTGCCTGGGGTCGGCTATTCGGGGCCACCTGTTGCGTAGGTTTCGGCGTCTGCGTGAAGACCTGGCTTTCTGGGACCTCAAGACGGGTGGCAGATTGGCGCGTTCAAACATTAAAACACTTGGTGAGGATGCTGAGTCAAGTGAGGGATGTGTCCTCGGTTTTGCACTTGCGCTCGGTGTCTGTGGTGAAGCTGAGGCAATCTCTCTCCTCATGCTCTTCATGTCCATCGAGCGCACGCTCTGTGCGGTCTTGCGCCCGTATGAGCTGAAACGGGTATGCGAGAAGAGTCGGGGGCTTGACGCACAACCTGTAGAGATGTGCTTGGCACGGCACTGAGCTGTAGTGCATACGACTCTATTTGTATCGAAGACGCCTACGGCGAATCACCGCCGCCCCCTGCCTTGCAGGACACGCCTACAACCGTTTGGACAAAGCTTGACCACGCTATTGGACAATGCGTTTCCCCTAGCCGTTGTGGAAGCCCTTCGGTGAACACGTTGAGGATGAAGTGGAGGATGGGGAGGCGAAGAGAAAAAGGATGACGACGAGAAGGACGGGGAGACCTCTTGGGAGCTTCATGAGGCTCTCATGGCACGTCCTGGGAGCTTCCTGGGGGCCTCTTGGAGGCCTGTTCGGGGCCGGCCTCTTCGAGGCCTTCGGAGGCTTCTTGCGGGCCTCTTCGACCGTCTTGCGGCTTGCTTTCCTGGCCCGTCTGAAGCTGTCAGAAGCCGTCTTGGGACTGTCTTGGGGCCTTTTTGGAGCGCTTCAGGGTCGTCTTGAAGGCCATCTGGGGCGGCCTGGAGGCCTCTTCGGCCGTCTGAGCCCTTGGGGGCCGTCTGGGGAGCCCTTTGGGCCGTCTTGGGGCCATCTTGGATGCCTCTTGCGCGCAGTCGGGGTGATCTGTGGGGCCGTCTTTCGCCGTCTTGGGCTGTCGGAAGGTCGAAAAGAAGCAAATGCCCAAATCCTTTGACAACCATCGGAAAATCAATGGGCGTTCAGGCCTTCATGAAAGATCTCTTAGGCCTCTCGGGCCGTATTGGAGGCCTCTGGGGTGCCGTCTTTGGGCCATCCTGAAGCCATTTTGGGCCGTCCTGGGTGCATCTCAGGCCGTCTTGGGTGCTTCTCGGGGCCATCTTGGGCCCTCCTGGGGACATATTTGCCGTCTTGCAAGCAAGCATCTTGGAGGCCATCTTGGAGCCATTTGGAGAGGACAAATCCTTGCCTCCTGGCTCCGGGCACGTTTTTCGAGTGGCCGGCGCCCTGGGCCGAAGCCGCAGGGGGAGTCTCTGAACAGAGCCAGGGGACCTCCCAGACGTCCATCACGCTGTGCACCCGTGTCACAGACCACAGGGGGCGGCAAATCTGAGGACCTTCGGCCCATCCCGCCACTGTGCCCGGGTTGTGGTCCGTACATGTTCGGCCCTAGACGGCCCAAGTCAGCCCCAAGAGCGCCTCAGGGGGCCCCAAGACGGCCCAAGACAGCCCCAAGAGCGCCCAAGCTACCACCGCGGCGGCCTCGGGCAAGAGGGTCCCATTCGGCCCGAGAGCGCTCAAGGAGGGCCCAGGATGGCTTCAAGACGGCCAAAGAGGCCCTCCAGTAGAACGCCCAAGAGGCAAACATCGTCCCTGTCCTTCGGGAGAACGCATTTTTTGAGCATATCTTCTTCTTTGCTCTTCACAGGGTCCAAACGGCTCAAGAGGCCCCCAGGATCCCCCAAAGACGGCACAAGAGGGCCCCCCAGAGGGCCTCCAGATGCCAAAACATAGATCTGTCGTAGGTTTTTAGAAGTTTTTCAGGTTCTCGCTTTTTCGGGGGGGCCCAGAGAGCGCAAGACAGCCCAAAGATCGTCCCAATACGGCCCCAGAGGGGAAACGGTCCAAGAGAGCCCCCAGGCGGCCCAAGATGGCCCCAAAACGGCCCAAGAGGGCCCCAAGACGGCTCCAAAAGAGACCCATGAGGGCCCAACGAGGCTCCCAAGAGGGCCCGAAGAGGCGGTGTGGGGAGTGGGCTGCTTGGGTGTGGTGACTGGGCTGGCCCCAAGACGGCCCACGAGTCCCAAAACGGCCCAAAAGGGCCCCCCAAAGACTCCCAAGAAGCCCCAGATACGCCAAGTAACACCATGGCTCCCAACAGCGAGCGGTGACGTAACAAGCTCTGAACCTCAAGCCTCCCCAGAGCGCGGTGACGAAACAAGTTTGTAACAGCAAGGCATCCAAGAGCGAGCGGCAACGTAAAAGTCTTTGAACACCAGGGCTCCCAACAGAGAGCGGTGACGCAACAAGCTACTAACGCCAAGGCAACCAAGAGCGAAAGGTGCCATGAGCCATCTCGGGCAAGTTCCTGCAGCACCCTTTCCGTTCCCGTGCCAGCCCAGGTTCCAGGGGAGGGGCGAGGCGCGGGCGAGAAGTCTGATGGCCAGTTTCCCTAATATATTTTCGAGTGAAGCGGCTCCAGGGCGGCTCCAATGGCCCGTTTCTTTTTTTTTCGATTGAAGCGGCTCCAGGGCCCCAAAATGGCCCAACAGGGCACCCAGACGGCCCCACGAGAGCCCCAAGAGGGCCCAAAGAGGCTCCCAAGATGGCCCAAAGAGGCCCCAACGAAAGCTCCAAGACGGCCGAAGGCTTCCAAACCATCCCAAGAGTGCCCAGAGACGCCCCGAGAGGCCTCCAAGAGGCTTCCCAAGAGGGCACACCGAGGCACAAATCATTGATCCTTCGGTGGTTTTTGATAGTTTTTGGGGCTCCCGCCTTTTCTGACCAAAAACAGCCCGCAATGGCCCAATAAGCTCCAAAGATCGTCCCCAGACGGCCCACGAAACGCCCACAGTGGCCCAAGCCGGCCCAATAGGGCCCCAAGACGGCCCAACAGGGCCCCAAGACGGCTCCAAGAGAGCTCCAAGAGGGCCCAAAGAGGCTCCCAAGAGGGCCCCCAGAATCCCCCCAAGAGAGCTCCAAGACGGCCACAGGCCGCCAAAGACGGCTTAAGTGGCTCCATGACGGCCGAACTGGGCCCCAAGACGGCCCAATGGTCACCCAAAGGGGCTCCGAAACGATCCCCAAGGCTCCCAAGAGCGAGCGGCAACGTAACAGTCTGTGAATACCAGGGCTCCCAACAGAGAGCGATGACGCAACAAGCTATTATCGCCAAGGCTACCTATAGTTTGAACTTGTTTGGACAACACAGCGTTATCCCCGTGTTTTCCTGCAAATCGCTCCAAGTCCTGTTTACCATTGCATACATCCACATCGGTGGGGCTCTGGCGCACCGCCGAAATGAGCTTCCCAGGGCGGCATCTTCAGGAACATATCACAAAATCATTTTGCTGCATAACATTTCGAGGGACACACGGGACAACTCTTCGGGTTTTCGACACTTTATCCCGGATCGCGCAGGCTCCAAGGAGCGAAGGGTGCCATGAGCCATCTCGGGCAAGTTCTTGCAGCGTTTTTTACGATTCCGTGCCGGCCCAGGTTTGGCCTTCGGCCCATCCTTCCACCGTGCCTGGGTTGTGGGTCGTAGGCCTCTGGAATGTTCGCTGGGAGATCGTAGATGCCTCTTGGGGGCCCCTTTGGGGCCTCTTGGGGGCCGTTTTGGGGCCTCTTGGGGCGTCTTGGGGGCCTCCTGGGGGCCTCTTTGGGGCTCTTGGGGGCCTCTTAGGGCCTCCTTTGGGCCTCCTGGGGGCCTTTTGGAGCGGAAGGGCAGGATTTTCGTTTCTCTCTTGGACCCTTCTTGGGGCTGTCTATGGGCTCTCTTGGGCCGTCTTGGAGTCCTCTTGGGCTGTCTTGGGATCCTTTTAGAGGCCTTTTGGCCTGTTTGGGGGCGGTCTTCGGGGCCTCTTGGACCGTCTTGGAGCTTCCGAAGCTCGAAAACCAGAGGAACCCAAACGCATTGAAACAGCAAAGGGAACTCAATGATTTTGGCCTCTCGGGGTCCTCCTGGGCAGGCTCTTGGGGCTCTCTTTTTGGGGGCCTCGAGGGCTTCTTCGGCCGTCTTGGGGCCATCTTGGACGTCTCGGACCGATCGTGCGGCGATTTGTGCCCCTCTTGCACCGTCTTCGGGGCCTCTTGGGGCGCTCTTGGCCCGTCTTGGGTCCCATTGAAGCCCGAGAAAATCACGCGAGGAAGCGCTGGGAGCATCAGCAGATTTGGCAATTCAGGGTCCAGGCCCCCTCAGGATCGTGGACTGAGGCTGAAGGGATTAGGCCAAGGACCTGAGGACGCTCCAACTCGTGCCTCAGGACACGGTGGCGGATCTAGTATATTTTTCGCGGTAGCCATAGGTGGCCGTTTTACGGCCCGAGTAGGATTTTACCATCATGCCACAGCTGAGGCGGCCATCCGCTCGCTGGCTTTTTGAGCAGCAGGGACAAGAACGGGGATGCACGGGCGTTACCGCGACGATGTCTCTCTTCTCCGTTGACTGGTCCACGAGAGGGTGCCGAACGTTGAGTTTGGTGAGTTGGTTGTGCGAAGCCTGGGATGTTCGTGCGCCCTGTGTACTTGGTGAGCGTTGTGTAGCATGAGGGCCTCGTGCCACGTGTCATGCGTGCCTCCCGCTGTGCCTCCTGTGCTCAGCGTGGTACGTGCGTGTGTGTTGGTGTCCCGTGCTTGTTTTCGTTTGTCACGAGCCGTGCGGGCCGTAGCCGCGCTTTGTCTGTGTGTGTGCGTGTGTGTGTCTGTGTGTGTGCGTGTTTGTGTGTCTACCTCGACCTCTCTGCCTGACTCCGCTGCGTCGCCGTGCGCGTGGCCGCGACGCAGAGTCACTGTGTGTGTTTGCGTGTGTGCGCGTGCGTGTGCGTGTGCGCGTGTGTGTGTGTGTATGTATGTGGTGTGTTTGTACGTGTGTATGTGTATGTGTGTGTGTGTGTGTCTGTGTCTCATGTGCCAATCGGTGTGTGCGTGTGTGTACATTGTGTGTGTGTATGTGTGTCTGTTGTGTGACATGGGACCCCTGTTCCTGAGGGGAGGGTCTATCCGTCAGTAGGCTACAGGGCATGGCTTTTCCACCGCGTGCAAAATCCACAACGCAGTCGTGCTGGCACTCGGTCCTTGTTTCGACGAGGTCGCGCCGCTGGGTCCCGGTGGACACACCCTCGGTGCAGCAGCGCCCGGTGGCGGGGAGGCCGGGGGTGGCCCGCAGACGCGTGCGCCGAGGTCTTGGCCAGATGGGCCACGATCGACGGCCTTGACGTCTTCCAACATCCAACCAATCTTTCAAGCGTGGGCGCCCCCTTTTGTCGCGAGGGGGGGGGGGCGTTCATGTCGCAAGACCCGCAGATGTCCAGGAACCGCCCGTGGTGGCCGAAGGTCACATCACAGAAAGCCTTTTCATAGGAAGCTTTTTTCAAAAACCTTTGCCACTTTCCTTTGTCATGCGTTTGTAGTAAAGAAATTCGTCGCCGACCTGATGGTCCGTAACAAAAGAAGCCTTTATCAAGCCTTTTCTATCCAGTCTCCATCCGGCCTCTACTGAAGACGTGCGCCACCGCGGTGGAGATGCAGAAGGACAGAAGCCTACAATCTCAGGGATGCCCCCGAGGAAGTGGGGCCAATCGGGGGGAAGGAGGGCGGGGGAGGAGGACAATTTCTGATGATGACAGTAGGTGACACTTGATGTCGATGACGACGATGACGGCGATGACAATCATTGTCGTCATGACATTGTCATCGTTGTCGTCTTCATTGTCATCAATTTTCATCAAGTGTCATTGTCAAATTGCCATCGTCATTGTCATTTCTTGGTTTGATCCAGATGCGCAATGGGGACGATGTGAGTCTTTCACAGCAGTGCTTCGTAGGAGGGCGAGGAGACACAAAGAGGGCAGGGGCGGGGTGGGGGGGAAGGGGGGGGAAGGGGCGGGGTAGTTCCAGGCTTGAAGAAGTCGACGTGCAGCTGTTTTTATGAACGGGGAAGCGAGGCAACGGGTAGAGAGGTTCATCGGCACGGTTGGGAAATCGACACACCAGGGGGGATCTGAGCTGGCGGCTCAGCACTGGGCCAAGGGCGGGGTTCGCTTGGGGGCGAAAATAGCTAGATCTGGTGGCGGCGACGGACCTGAAATTGCAAGCGTGGGAGGCGCCGTGGAAAGACGACGCGAGCCTCCGAGGATGATGGGATGCGTGTGTGTGTGTGTGTGTGTGTGTGTGTGTGTGTGTGTGCGTGCGTGCGTGCGTGCGTGCGTGCGTGCGTGCGTGCGTGCGTGCGTGCGTGCGTGCGTGCGTGCGTGTGTGCGTGTGTGTGCGTGTGTGTGTGTGTGTGTGTGAATGTATGTGTGTGTGTGTGTGTCTGGGGGGTGCAGGGCGGACGCGGGGGGGTATCTCCGGGCGCCTAGAGCGACGGGCTTGTACTTCACGCGGCGAGAAGAAAGCGAACCGGGAATTTTTGATTATTCGGATTATGTGCATGCATGAGGTTACGGAGACACCAGAGGGAATCTGCCTCAACGGGTGGGGGGGTTGGGCATACCTGTGGGTGCGCAGAACTCACTCCGCTAATTGCGACGGATGGAGGGACTTGAAGCTGCCGCAAAGGGAAGCGCAACACGAGGACGGCGCAAGTCTCCGAGGCTCGGCCAGGAAAGAGGGGGGGGGGTACTGGGAATCTCGGGAGCTCCACGGGGCAGGATGCGGGGGGTACCACGGCGGCATCTGCGCGGACAGCTGCCTGAGGGGCTGCCGCGAAGAGGAAGAAACCGACCGGTTCACTTGGGCTCGAGTTCCCGCTCCTGTGCGACATCTTCGCTGCTGACGCGGATCGGAAGGGGCGTAGATTCCACGGGGCGTTTGGGATCGGGGCGGCGGGGGATGATAGGGGGGATTGGGGGGAGGGAGGGCGAGGGGGGGAGGGACGGGACATTTTTCTCGGCCCTTCGAAACACAGAGGTGAAAGAAGCCAACCTTGGTTCTAATTTACCTGCATTGGATCTTCACGTTCCGGTACTTCGGCTACGTCATCAATATTCAGAAGAAGAAAAGAAACGTGGATTCCCTGGGGCGTCTTGGGCCGGGGGGAGAGGGATGCGGGGATGGTATGGTATCGTGCGCGTGGGACGGCTGGGTGTAGAAGTGCCAGGGCGTGTTCACGGGCAGACGCTTGGTCGCGGGTGGGGCGTCCCGTTCCCCCACGGGGTGTCGAAGGGTTTCAGATGCAACCCGTTGAGTGGCAGGCGCGCGCGCAGGGTTTTGCGCCCAGAGCTGGCGGATGGGCGCCGAGGCCTTGATCAAATTGGTCACGATCAGCGGCCTCGACATCCACAAACATTCAACCACTATTTCAATTATGTGTGTATGCCTCGGCGGTGTGATGTTCCTTCTCCGTCCCCTTGCACTGCTCCCTGCCAGTCGACCGCACGGCCTGCCACTGCCGCTCCCGCTGTCCTGCGTGAGTTCCATTTGCAGAGCCATCCCCGCTCGTCCGGTTTCTCGTTTGTCACCTCGTGAGATCTCCACGCAACGCGGTTCCCTATGGATGCGTGATGGCCTTTTGCGCTTCACTTTCTCCGCGTGCCTAACTCCGCTGCGACGCTGCGCGCGCAGCCGCGACGCCCGACTGTGTGTGTGTGTGTGTGTGAGTGTGGGTGTGTGTGTGTGGGTGGGTGTTCGTGCATTTTGTTGTGTTGTGCTGTGTTGTGTTATGCTGTGCTGTCTTGTTGTGTTGTGGTGTGGTGTGATGTGATGAAATGTGTTGTGTGTATTTGTTGTGCGCAACCTGGCTCGACCTGCCTGTGCTTGGCCAGCTGTTGGGCCAGCGCTGCGAGGGAGGATGCCGAGTTTTGTGCGCACTTGCTAACGCGTATCGTACGAGCGTTGTGTTGTATCCAGCGCGTGCCGCGCGCAGCGTCTACCGGAACGGGCGGCGTTGTTCGAGGTAGCTCTGAGGATTTCTGTAGGGTGTAGCAGTCCAGCTGCGCTGCTGCGCGCATCCGCCGACGCACTGTGCTGGGGGAAAGGGGCTCAGAGGGGGGGCATGGCATGGGGCTGATGCCCACGAGTGGCAAGAACACGCCCAAAGACTTCGGTTCTCGATCCTCGACCCTCGACCTCGATCTCCGATCCTCGACCCTCCATCTGTCGATCCTCGATCGATCCTCGGTCCTGGAACCTCCATCCTCGACCAGCAAGGACCTCGCCTCCTACCGCCGCATCTCGACGGGCGGTTTTTGGCAGTTCTCGGCCCGTGGGGGCCCGTTGACGGGCCCCCACGGCCGTCAAGCTCTTGCCCGAGATGAGCAAGCGGCCCCAGAGCCAACGGGTCCGACCCCCACGGGGTGGCGTCGCGAAACAAACATCACGGTGTCGGAGTCCTTGGGGGAGAGTGGCCGCGAGCCCCGCGCCGTGCCTCATGCTCGTGGCAGAGCCCTGCGCGCGGACTTGGAGCAACACCTGGGGCGCTGCAGACAGGGCCCCGCCGTCGAGGATCGGAGGAATCGCCACCTGTTCTGCGGCGGAAGTTGGCGAAAGGTTCGCGGAAGGTGGCGGAAGGAAAGCCGGGCCGCCTCCGCCGGCGGAAGTTGGCAGAAGTCTGTCGGAAACCGGCGGGGAGGAGAAGGAGGAGGAGGAGGAGGATGAGGACCAGTATAAACCCAAGAGTCATCAACGATGCTGGAACAACCTTTCTTCCAAGCTCCCTCTTCATAGGACCCACACAAGGGTTCATTTCCACAGGGAACTGCCTCGTTGGACGACAACCGCTTTAAGACACCGGAGCATGCCAAAACATTGTTCTCGGGATTCTAATGCCACGGATCAGTTTGACTGTTGCTTGCGTCTGACGGTCCTGAATCGTGCCTGAACGCCATTCCTGGGACTTTATCACTGCGAATCAACGTAACTGTTGCACCCTCATAGTCTCGAATCCTTCCAAAACGCTATGTCCAGTATGTTGGTTATGGGAACCCATGAAACTCCTACAAGGTTTCGGAACGAATGCGCGCGGCGCTGAGGCGAGGGCCGCATTTTGAAAACGGGTCGCCTTTAATCCGTGAAGATATTGCAAATATTCAAGCGAGGGCAGCATTTTGAAAACAGTTGGCCCTCAACCTGTGCAACTCTTGCGAATCATTAAACCGAAGTTGTGCGGCGCTAAGACGAGAGCCACATTTTGAAAACGGTTGGCCTTCAATTCGTGAAATTCTTGCACATCATTAGAACATGTGCGCGGTGCTAAAGCGAGAGCCACATTTTGAAAACGGGTCGCCCTCAATCCGTGAAGCTCTGCCGAATTTTCAAAACGATCTTGAAAACCACCCGCCCTCCATCTGTGATTGCCAATGTTTAGCTTCAGGGTCCTCATTGGTGAGGAAGTCCCAGGCGAAACGCTTAGCCGGACCCAAAAGCTGGCCTCGGGGTGCGACAGGGCGAAGTTATTTGTAAGCAGAAGGAATGGAGGAGAAGAAGGAGGAGGAGGTCTGGATAATCTTATCCACAGTCAGCGCTCTCGACTAGAGATCGCGGCCGACGAGCGACAGGCTCGTGCCCTGGCTGCCACCGCTCGTGTCCAGCTGATGAGGTAGGCGTGGCGGAGCGAACCTCGGGTTGCGCAGCCACGTGCCAGGAAGAGGAGGTCCGGTCCCAAGAGAGCTGGCTCAAGGCTCCAGGTGGCCCAAGCCGCCCGGCAGCGGGCTTCCTATAGGCAGTCCCGCCGCCGGGTGGCTGCGGCCGGCCGTGGCCTCCGGGGCGGCCGCGGCGGGGCCGCCACCGGGCCGAGGCGCATCGGGGCCCAGACGTGATCGCGTCGTACAAAACATTAGGACGGGAGGTTTTCGGCCAATTTCGGCTTCGAGGGGCCCTCGCTGGGCCTCGGGGCCGTCCAAAAAGCGATTCGGGAGGAAAAACCGGTCCCGGGGAGGGTCCGGACTTCCAGGGGCCCCGCATCGACTAAAAGTCAGGACGTCGCATGTCTGAGAGGCGGTGCTGCTGCAACCAGGGAGGCACGAGTCCAGAGGAGCCGGGGCCGTGACGGCATCCGCGCCTTCCCCGGGGCGTCCGCGGCGCGGCGGCGCCAGCGGGCGCGCGCGCCGCCCCCGATGCCGCGCCGCGGCCCGCCCCGGCGGCCGGAGCCTCGCCAGGCGTCGGCGCCGCCGCGTCGTCGGCGGGCCGCGTCCGGCGGGAGGCGCGGCTGCACCGCGCGTGGCCCGGCGAGAGCACTTGCTGCTGCGGGGGCGCGCTCTTCGCAGGCTCTCCTCGCCTCGTTTTGTGCCCTTCCAGAATAGCCTTCCCTTTCGGGCCAAGAGGGCCCAAGCGCGGCGTCCTGGCCCTGGAGCATCCCCTCGAGCATGGCTTCGTGATCGACTGGGGCGACAGGACGAATCTGGCAGCGCACCTTCTGCAACGAGCTCCGTGTGGCTCCGGAGGGGCGCCCTCGGCTCGCGGGCGCGTGGCCCAGAGCATGTTTCAGACGTTCCACGCGCCGGCGATGTGCGCCGCGATCCGGGCAGTGCTCTCGCTGTGCGCTTCTGGCCACACCGTTGTGTTGGCCATGGAGTTCGGCGACGGTGTGTCGCGCACCGCACACACACACACACCTATGAGGGCTACGCGCTGTCGCGCACGATCCTGCGCTTGGATCTGGCGGGGCGGGACTCTACGGAGCAGTCGATGAAAATCCACACCGAGCGTGGCCACTCCTTCACCACCACGGCTGCGCGAAAGATCGCGCGCGACGTTTGACTCGGGCACCGAGAGGAAAGCCGCCACGGAGAGCTCCAGCAAGGAGAATACGTACAAGCTCCCCGACGGAAACGTCAGAGCCTTTGGCAGCGAGCGCTTCCACTGCCAAGCGGTGGCCTTCCATCCTAGCTTCGTGGGGGCCAGCTGCATCCACGGCATTACGTCTCAGTCGATCATGAAGTGCGATGTCGATATCCGCAATGACCTGTACGCCAACGTGGTAATGTCTGGTGGCACCGCAATGTTCCCATGCATCTGCAAGTGCATGACCACGGAACTGACGGCACTGGATCTTCCCACAATGAAGATCAACGTCGTACGCCAGCTTGGGCGCACGTACCGAGTGTGGATCGGTGTATCTATCCTCCCCCCGAAGAGTACCTTCCATCAGATGTGGATCTCCAAGCGGGGTGCTCCGAGCCGGGCCCCACCACTGTGCACAGGAAGTGTTTCTGAGGGTTTGCCCTCAGCAGATTTGGGGAGCCAGGCAAGCTAGAATCATCCGACGTGTTGGATGGAGGTTTCGAGCTTGCCTCACGCCCCCGTGTTCAAAGCTGGCGCTGGCAGTGATAAATCGCAGTGGCCGCGTTGGCCCTCTGAAGTGTGTCAAGATAACCGTGTATGTCTCTGGCATATGTAGCTATCTATTAGATGTGCATGCGCAGACCGTATATTTTTTCGAAGGCCATCCTTGTTACAGTCAGCCAGGCGAGTTCACCACCGTGGCGGTTCCTGAGTCATCCACAGTATAGTTTGCAATCTTTGTTTATCAGATTTCCTTTGCCTCGCCCCTGCCGCTTCCCCTGCTTCCTTCTTCCTCCGTCCCTCCCTTCCTCCCCTCTCTTCCCCTTCCTGTCTGCATGCTCTGTTGACGTCCTTGATGGGCTGCCGCCGTGCTGGCCCACGCGGATGAGTGCGCCGGCCTGCCCCGGCTCCGGCGCGCCTGCGGCATCGCAGGGGGGATCCGTCTTGGCCTCCCCGCCCTCCCCTCCCTCCCCCCCCCTCTTGTGGTTGCGAGGCGACTCCGGGGACGGCTATCGCGCCAAAGCTCTGGCGCCGTCCCGTCTGCGCTGGTCGTGCGTTGAGGGCCGTAGGTCACGCCAGCTTCGAGGCGGCCAGCCACCCTCTCCCACCTTCGATGTTCGCTCGACTCGTTGGGCTTCGGGCTTATTTGCAGCCCCACCCTGTCACCGGGTTTTTAGGTTTCAGCTGCGCACCGCCGCCTGGAGCACCAGAGTTTGTCCTGGTGTCCTGCTTTCCTCCTCCCTTTTCTCTTCTTTTTCCTTCTTCCTCCTTCGTTCTCCACCTCCACCTTCGCAAGATAGTTCGCTGCGTCCCACCGTGTGGCTGAGGTGCGTGGCCGTTGCGAGCCGCGGCTTCCGCCCGCCCTGCCCGCCCTGCCGGAGCGGCTTGCGGATTTTGCGTTCTTTCCCTCTTCGTGCGTGCCCGGCTGTGCTTGCACACCTCGTGTCTAGTGCCAGCCGGCGCTCGCCCGCATGAGGCATCTCGCCCCTTTTATCTCTCTGTTCCTCTCTTTGCGCTCCCTCCTTTTCGCTTTTTTTGATGTCGTTTCTCGTGCGGTACGGTCGTGCGTCCTTCAGGATGCGATTCAGCACATGTGCTTGCCTCTCGCAGGGCGGCTCGCGTAGTGTTCCCGGTTTGCCTGGCGACCTTATGGTTCGCACAGTGGTCGAGGCCGAGTCGGGTGAAGGTTTGTGGTCGCGCTCCTTTTGTTTCCACCCAAAAAAGGTTCGGCCTCAAGATACGTCAATCTTTTCATATGGGTTCCTGCACGGCCCACGTGGCCGGATGTTGGGCTCGATGCGCCAAGGAGGGGCCCTGCGGAGCTGGCGGCAGAAAGGCGGCGGGGGGCGGGGGGTGGTTCCGCACGCGCCAGCCGCTGCACACAGCGCTGCGGCGGCGGTTGTAGTTCGCTGCTTTTTGGAGTCGGCCACGGGCTTCGGCGGCAAAATCGGAACCCTGCCCTCGCCACTCAACGATTCAGGCAACCCGATGGACGGCGAGGGTCGGATTCGGAAGCCGTCGAGCGCGTGGCGGAGTCCGAGCCCCGCCCCGGCCGCCCATCGATGCCGGCAAGTCGGTGGTTGGTGAGAAGACGGTTCGGATGTCGCCGCCCAGGGCTGCCCACCCCTGGAGTGCGTGCACTGCTGGGCAGCTTGGGACACGTAATATTCGAAGTAGCCAGAGACATTCATGCTCGCGTCGTGGCAGAGCCGTTTTCGGCCTCTGGGGTCCACCGCTGGGCCCCGGGGATTGTCAAA